TCAAAAAAAAAAAAAAAAAATTAAAAAGGAACACTTTTTAATCAGTATATAACAAAGTTATATTACCTATCTTTGTACATTTTATATTCCTGACTAAACGGTTTGTCTCAATAGTTGCTAGTTGCCAATTAGTTTCTAGCCATTTTAGCGTTCGCCTTTAAAAGGTATCCTCAGAAAGTGTTAGCTCTTTGTCCATATTCCATTTTATTTTTTAAAGATGGCTTTAGGTTAATGTGTGTCTGACACTTTCTCGTCGTATTGTAGTTAAGGAATATTTTATGTGTACAAGGACTGCAGCTATGCTGCCATTTTACCAGGGGCGGATTGACAACTCATGGGGCCCCCGGGCAATAGGGGATCATGGGGCCCCTGTGTCCTTGCCCACACTCAAAGCACACCCAAAAAAAGCCTAAAAAAAAAAAAAAAAAAAAAAAAAAAAAAAAAAAAAGGTACCAGGGGCATTTCATGGGGTCCCCTACTGACCTCGGGTCCCTCGGGCAATGCCCTAGGGCTCAAATGGTCAGTCCGCCACTGCATTTTACTCTTTTTAAAGAAACAAAATCTGCAAAAGCACTATATTAACTTTGACCTGCGGAAAAGGATTTAATTTATTCATAAAAATTTTAATAAACTGTTTGAAAAACTTGCTTTGGTGCTCTTGCTTGTAGCAGAACCTATTTAGCCAATTTGTCACCCCCATAGGCAATACAGGCCTAAAATGGATTCACATGATACACTGAAGCCTAAGAAGAGAGAGCAGCTGTGCAGCAGCCAGGACAACACAGGATCAGTGAGAGAAGACAGCCAAGTGTTTAGGGACTGTGGGAAGAACAAGTAGCTGGATGCTTTCTTTACCTGAATATAGGGAATGCATTAAGGTAAAAACATTGACTTTATAACCACTTTAAATAAAAGGGGAAATGTCCATCAAATAAAAATGGACTGTAGCAAACTTCAAATGCTCCCAACATTGAATAAATATTTCACCTCTATGCCAAGAGTGGTCACTAGCTGCCCTTCTAGGTAGCCAGGGGGAGCTAGTTATTTTTCAGCCACAAAGGCGGAGTAGCAGCCTGAGCAATAGTCAGCTGGGTTAACTTTAGGTCAGGGCTGAGAGGCTCTGCAGATCAATTCCCTGATAACGCCCCCTGATATAGCAATTTAGAAAAAGTCTCTAGAATTCATTGGGTGGGAGGGGCTGATCTGCATGCTTAAGGGGTCCTGACCAATCCCCAGGCAGGAGGCTTGGCATGGGATCAGGACAGCTCTTAAGCATGACTAAACCTGCTCAGCAGCAAGAGAGTTTGGGTGGAAAATGTGAGAAGGCTGAGATGCAGGAGCCTGTGAGGGGGCCCATCTACAGGCTGGGACCTGGACAGGAGGATTACTTAGCCTCACTGGTCCCCAGAGGGAGGACTATCTGGAGCCAGCCCAGCAGAAGGCCTGAAGGCAGCAACCAACGTAAAAAGATAGCAGGGAAGAACTGAGTGAGTAATCCTACACCCCCTGGGCCAGTTAAGGGGGGGCTTTCTGTTCATAATGTTCAACTTAGAGTGGCAGACACTGGATCCCCTTGCTCAAGGATTCACCCAGTACAGCTGGATGAGGGGAGGATTCATACACTAGGAGAGGCTGAAGAGCTCTCCAGGAAGGAACATTTTGCTGTATAAAAGACTTGTACATAGTTGTCAGGAAGCTGTCCTCATTTGCAGTTCCCTTGGGCATCCCCTACACCCCTTACCCCAACCAAGTTCAAATACCCCTAATAAAACCTAAAAAAAAGCTGAAGGACTGTTTACGGTCTCTGGAATGCAAGTCTTACGTTTTGTTTGACTGTGCAGGACCATAGGGGGACCCAAATCTTCAGCAACAACTAAGGGTGCAAGTACTAAAAGGGACAAGGGTTGTAGGTTGTCTTATGAGAATTTTCATAACTTTTGCAACATATTTGTTTTCAAGATAAGATTAGCATGCAAAAAAAAAAAAAAAAAAAAAAAGATCATTCATCCATTATTCTTATTGTGTGAACTAGGCATTAGACTGTCCACTATCCACAGAAGGTAGGGGAAGCTGCGAAGATCTCACCACTAGAGTCTAAGACTGATACACGAAAGAGCTTTATGATTCAAGGCACCAGAATCTGCCACATTAAAAAGAGGAGAAACACCAGCCAAAAACTTTTTAAATTAACATTTATTTATCACAAACATGACATCACTGACACTTTAAGGCTGTTCTCTTCAAGTACTGCAAATTAAAAATCCTCATATTTGCAAATATTGCATAATGTTACATTTTGAAAAGATTTTTCTTTTTTAAAAAGAGACCACCTTGATTGAAAAAAGCAAAAAAAAAAAAAAATCAAAAAACCAAAAAACACAAAAGCTTAAACATCAGACTAACACAATTTCAAGTAAATTGAAATCTTTAACTTAATCAATCCAGCAATGCACTTATAGAATGCATGGTTTCTCCAAAAAACAAAATTTCAGTTACAGCATAGCAACAGTTTTAATGTAGTAACTTAAAAAAAAATCACGAAGGACGTGCTGAAACAAACTTATCTAGATGCAAGGAAGGCACTTTTAGTGTGATCCATTTAAAAAATAAGGAAAGCTGTCCGCAACACTAATTTATCAAATAAAAAGATTCCTGTTGGCATTAGATCTAATTTGCGAACATTCAGTTAACGGTTTTAGGCACTTTGGTCATTTTTGCAGCATTTTGGGACTAAACTGGCTGATGATGTAGCGAACGTACTTTATCATATAAAACAGTAGAGGGAAATGTCAATATCGCAGCCAGTCAGACTTTACCTTTTAATTTCTGCAGGCTTCTAACTTATATCTGTGGCTCTGTCAGTGCATGTATGTAGTGGCTCAAAAGGACAGGGCATGAAACCATCTCTAATAAAACCAGTCAATTAGACATTAATGTCAGTAGTAACCCATACAAGGGTACAAGCAGGTGACTAGCATTAAAAGCATCATCTTTAAAAAGGATCTGCAAACTTTCTGCAAATATTCAATTGAGCTCTGCTTGACAGTGTTAGCTGTGTTTTCTCTTCACTGCCTCATAGGTAGACATTGTTGGATCACCTGTGAAGCATTTGCAAGTATTACATGGTTTCGTGCATGAGCCCTACTTTGCACCAGGAACACAGAAACCCTGGCACTTGTCCTTTCCTCCTAGTCTTCTTTCCAAACACAAGTAGTTTTTTCAAGAATGGCACCTGAGTTTTCTTCCTCTAAACAAATGCAATAAAATGGCACAAATCAATTACATTTCAAGAAAAGTCTGAAGGTATCATTACTGCTCAAGGGTGACCTCCATTAGGCCTTGGCTGCTTGTGGTAAAAGAAATAAAAACAACTAAATTATGTTATACAATAAATTAGCATGGTCTAGAAACAAAACAGAAACTGGCATGGACTTTATTTTTTGCAATAATCAACCAGTAGCATATTTAGGCCAGGATTCATGCATATTCAAAAAGTGCTTTTCTTCTCTTTGAATTAAAAAAAAATTTGGACATTCATATGACCTAAAGGTCTGATAGACTATTAAAAATGTCATATTATATTTGCAATTGCTGTATTCTAGCTGTGGGTTTAAGTTTTTACTTTCCGCTAAAAAATATATATGCTATTAAAGTTTTTAGGGCAGGAAAATTTCAATAAATTATAAATGTAGAGTATCCTTTTTACAATTAAGTAAGAAATAACAAACAGCTTTCTCTTTCATAGAGGATGCACTGCAAGCCTGTATTAAGCTCTTAACACCACAGATTGGCTAGCCCTGATGTAATTGTAAGATTCCATCATGCTATTATAACATAGTTGGCAATGCTTATGATGTATCCACATCTGTTATATTTATGAACTTTTTTCTTTTTTTACTTAAGAGTGACAATGGGACAGGTTTCTTTGGAAAAAGAAATCTGTTTGCCACAATAAATATTATATGTACGCTGACTCTCATTGCAGACTTGCATTCATATATACAGTACTTTTCCAGAGGGTTAGGAATGCAGGCTCACAGCTTTGTATAATAAAGGAAATCTGCCTATAAGTAAAGCACCCGATTCAGAAGAAGCAGATTTAAGATTCCATTTCCTAACTCATAGGTTGTATAGTAGTTCCCAGGCAATGGCTTATGTTGCATTGAACCTGAACAGAAGCTTCTAAGACAGTTAGGGCCATTTATTGATGAGCCTTGGCTTCAGTTTGAGATGGTTCCGAGGTCATTCAGATATTGACAGGTACAGCTGACCTCTTTTTCGACCTGCATTTGACCCACTTCAGGTGGTGTTTGCATTCCTATTGGTTATAGGTACATGTACCTAAACCTAATTCAAGCAAACAAAAGTCCATCAACGTAGGCCCTTATTATTTGGCTTCAGAATAGATCTCCTTACATTTAAAAAATTGACGGCAGTGCAAAACAAATATACATGTGGAGTATTTAGATTTAAAAATGCCTCATTTTTTTTTCTTATTTGCTACTTGACATTACTGCTTGAATATTTGTCATATCAACACTGCCTTAAATAAATTGGTGACATTAACAATGTTCATCTGCTACTTGTGTGTTTTATGCAACTATTTAATGGGCTGAACCATGCTCCAGTGAGGTCACTAGTTTCTAGTCAATTGATGGTTAAATACCTTTTCCGTCCACAGAAAAAAATAAAGAATCAAATTATGCCTTGTAATGTAAGGAGGTTTCTTGTTTTTGTGATGGAACCTCAAAATCCTATTTTTCTTACTTGGTATTCAATTGTCTGTGTATTCTTGGAGTTTTAAAATTTACAACATGGGAGTAGTGAGGGGGTTATGTACTTTTCTGGTCCCCATGCATCATTTTTCCACATTCTTTAAAGACAGTAGTAAATAGTCTGATTTGAATTAGAAACAAGACTCTATAAATAAAAAAATATAAAAAAAAAAAAAAAAAAAGAGACAAAATAGTTTGCTGATGGGTTCAAGAGTCTGTCAGAGTTCATGGATCAATAAAAGAAACTGCAATATATCTTGTCCCATTCGTCACAGGAAGTCCTTCATGCAAATGTGTGAGTCGCCCTGGGTGCATAAAGCTCCACCCCTTTCTTGGAGATGCAATTGAACAGTTATACCTGGCAAATCTGCATCCACCTCCCTGTGTGAAAAATAAAATCACAAATTTATTATTTCAGACAGACAAAAAAAAAAAAAAGAAAAAAAATTGATTGTTTACTCATTTAACTCAACTTATCAATTTGTAATAGAAAACCCTATTTTAATGTAAAACAACAACATTTCACTCAAAATTGATGGGAGTGCTTGAACAAAATATTTCACATAAAAAAAAAAAAAAAAATATTACTGGGAGAGGTTCTTTTAAAGTGCTCATCAAAGCATCAGAAGGAGACATTCTAAATTAACATCAAGTTTCTTCAAGTAAAAAGGGATTATTCAAAGACATTATCCATTTTTGCTTTTGGAAAAAAAAAAAAAAAAAAAACAACAAAAAAAAAAAAAACAACTTTGCTATGCCCTAGCAAAAAAAAAAAAAAAAATCTATCCAAAAAAGTTTGCAAACACATACACGCACGGTAAAAACTGCTGGAGACCAAATACATATGCTCATAAGCACGAGTTTGCTATGCCAATCATACAGACTTTCAAGTAGGCTAGAAATTCTCAACAAGCAGTCTTGGCTTTTGTTAGTATACGATTTGATCAAGGGCATAACTCTAGGTATAGTAGCCCATGAAACTGCAATGAGACCTGACATGATAGGGGGCTCAGCAATGTCTGTATTCACAAGGATTTACGTAGGAAACAGGGAGGCAAGAGGGCCTGCTAAGGATTATGGGGCCTTATCACAAATGGTTACCAGCTTCCACTATAGGCACGTATGGCTTAGCGTACCAGGAAAATCTTGATCACAGCAACTCAGCAGCCCAAACAAAAATGCCAAGCCTGCCAATGTATGGATGAGGAAAGACATGGGCACCCGGTCCCCTTCATTACAGACAAAAGAAATACAACACAACAAACGCACTCCCTCCTGTGATGTTACACTGCCAACCCCCTTTACAAGCTGAGCCAGAGCTCCTACCTGAGAATAAATGACCCAGAAGGATTACCGCCGAACGAGACAAAGATACTGTCAACCCAAGGAAAACTTGACAAGGAAGTTCGAGGCACTACGCTTCCAGTGGCAACATTGGAACATGTGCCATGGAAAACGAGAGTGAGTATTGTCAGTGCAATCTGGAACATGAACAGGCAACAGAAAAGCATAAAGGCAGAAAACAGGACAGAACCAATTGTCAAGGCAAATGAATAACCGCCGGGGGGTAAAGCCGACCCTGATTAACGGCCTGCACCAGGCCCAGAGTATCACAATTGAACCAAACTGTACATGACAAAAAAAAAAAACAAAAAAAAAAAAAAAAAAAACACATTTTCACAGCAAGCAAAATGGAGAAACACATCCAGGAGGACCAGATGCTAAGAAACCCTGTCACCAGGCTAGTGCACAGGCCAGGGACAAGTGCTATGATGCCCCTGGAAATATGCAAACTAACCTGCCACCCAAAAGCAGGCAAAAAAAAAAAAGGTCCGTATAAAAACCAAGAAAGTTATACCAGCAAATACTCGAAACCCTTGGTCACGCCTAATACCGCACCGACCTACCATTGCAAGTATCGAGGCATGTTACACGCCCACAGAACTTCAGTAAGCTCCTGATTCAACAAAAATGTGACAAACCAGGAACAAAAACCCTGCAGTGCCCAATGCCATGGTGGTGATTGAAAACCCTATCCATAGGCATGAACCTACAGGCAAAGGGAAGTGTACCCAGCTGAGAATACAGCAGACGCAAGGTGATATTGCTACCGAGACGGGCAGAGTGAACAACTGCTCCAAAATCCACAAGTTTAGCCTCCGGAAGTTGACCTACCAAAACCCGCGGAGTCAGTCAGGTTACCCAAAAACGAATCACCATGGATAAACCCTCAAGCTTTTTAGGGCAGAGGGAACCCCCCCCAAAAAAAAAATGCTCCACCATGAGTGAAACTGTGGCCAACAAGGCAACAGAAGTGCTAAAAACAGCCAGATCTGCCCATAAATTAATCTGGGTAGGGCATGATGAACGATGGCTGGATGTGCCGTGAAACACCCATTTGCAGGAAGGAAACTAAAGGTTCAAACAACAAATAAATTGAACACTTTAAGGATGGACCACGGTTGATGAAATAAAAAAATCCTGCCGATGAAAAAAATCCAGAAGATAAAACTGGAGGAAAGAATTGGCGACAAAAACAGCAGACACAATAGCTGCCTAAGCTAAAAAGGAACCCCGACCATAACAAACCCAGCAGAAAGTGTACAAACCCAAACACAAAGATGGATCAACAGTTTCTTCCATTCTGCCCATGATGAACAAGGCAGAATATTATGTGGTCCCGACTGGGAACACATCCAAAAGAGAAAACTAAAACATCCAAAGAAGGGGCCCAGAATGGACCAGCCGTGTGCCCCAACTCAATCATCCTTAACAGGTTACCTGAAACAACCTCAGGGAGCAAAGCTGCTGAATGCAAATTGTCAGCCAGGGGGAGTACTGAAATTAAACGGACAAAGAATACTAAATATCTCCGAACCACAGAACAATGTGGTGAGCCACCCATCTATCAGGACAAATACATAGCACAGTGTGCAGACTTGCCCCTTCTACCGGTGTCCACACGTTATAGTCATAGTGCAAACTGACTGTACCGCCAGAAATCCGATGAGCCGCATCTAAGGAAACCAAGCAGCAAAAAGAAAGCGGAGCAGTTCCTCAGATCCATCCCTCATAACATTGGTGAGGATTGCAATGGTTTGCAGCCAGTTAACGAATGGCTGGGAAGAAGGGACCCCAGCTGTACCAGGCAACAGGATGGATCCTGCCAACACAGCTCTCCCTCACCCAGCCCCCAGAGCAGCCCAAGTGATGGAGTGTCTGGTGGGAAAAAGGTTCTCTGAGGCACCAGGGCAGCTTACCGTGTGGGTTCCACCGAGGACTGGGATAGGGATTTACCCTGAGAACCCCTGAGCAGCAGGATGATGCAGAGGTGATGGTCCTGGAGTGTCCCTAGGGAGGCTTTCCAAGTTGTGCCAGACCTGGGAAGGCAGTACAAAGCACAAGTGCACCAGATGCCAAAACCTCTGAGCACGTGTAGAGGCCGAAAGAGCATGATCCATACCCCTTGCTGAACTCCCCCTAGCAGCACACAAGCCTGCATTTAAAAGACAGGCTCTGCCATTACTCGCTGCAGCAGCCACAAGCTGTGACAGCAGGCCCATCAAAGCACTCATGTCTCGCATGATTGTTGGTTAGAAAAGCAGGGCTGCACAGAAGTTGTCCCGACCAAGCTTCTTCCGACTACCTACTACAGCTCTATCCACTAATCTGGCGAGTACTCATGAATCCTGTTCATTTGATCCACAAACGACTCCTACTATGCCAAACCCCTTTTTACCAAGTCATGACGGCCCTGCGTCTAGGCTTTTCCTTCTTTCACTCCAGGCTTCGCTTTACAGCCAAAGAAGCTGCCATTTTTTGCCTCTTTGGCCTTCAGCTGCCATCATGCTGCACGTGATCAGTTATGACACCAGCCATTTGATGGATTTATAGTTTGGCTCCCTTCACACCTGCGCATACTGGAAATGTGCACAGAAATGCACATTTCTGCATGCATTTCCAAATATGCGCCAACACCACGCTAAAAAGTGCAACACGATTTTGCACCCTCGACACACTAAGAAAGTGGGCATTTTGCAGTGCAACAAGATGCACAAAAAATGCTTTTTGGAGCTCAAAAAAAAGCATCAAAAGCTCCATACGGAAGTGCAGCACTAAAAATGTGAATATATTTTATCTTAGTTGATGAATTGGGGGAAAAAAAAAAAACAAAAAACACTGAAATGAATAAGACCCAGTGCAAAAGGACACTGTGAAAAGTCCTTCAATGCACTTATATCTTCAATCACTAGGATGATCATGTATGTCAGTGCAGCACATATCACCCCACTCAGTGTGAAATATCCTTAAGTGCAATCATATCTTCAATTAATATGATCAGACATATTCAAGTGCACGTGTCACCCCCACTCAGTCCTCAAGGGAGGCTTACCAGATACATTTTTTAATATATATATATATATATATATATATATATATATATATATATATATATATATATATATATATATATATATTATATTTATATTTATTTCCAATTAAAACCTCTTTGGAGATGTAGTTACACTGTTTACCCTTTGGGGGTATATTGCTGCACGATGGTTTTAATTTAAATTACATTGCTCACCTCTATGGGGTTGCGGTTTTATTTTATATTGTCCTAATTATATTGTTTGCATTTATCTGTTTACTGGTAGGGGGTCGTGCAAATAATTCATATTGGTACCTTCACATAAAGGTTTCTTTATACTGTTGGAGCACTATTTCTATACTTTTCTAATGGCCCGATTTGTCTATGGATGTATCATGGCATCCATACTATTTAGTGAGTGTGACCAATCACAGCCGGTCCTCTCTCTGTGATCCTCCTATAAAAGCGTGGTGACGGACGTGCGCCCTTGATCCCCGATGATGTCACTTCTGATGAAACTCGTTGGGTGGAGCTAGGGCATATATCAACAGGCATGTGCGCACGCCCGTGGCCATCTTTGAAGTGGGAACAAGCAGATTTTTGCCATTATACAAGTGCTGTTCTGTATCCTCTTTCATGTAAGTGCAATACTTTGGTTTGAATAAACTTTGCTAAGGATTTAACACTGATAAGTTTTTTTTGTTTTATGCATATGCCCATTACATGCTTGACATTGTTGATCCGTTTGGAGTGGGCGAATGCGGTCTAATCCACATTTGGAGGCTGTAGAGGAGGTTGGAGCAGTTGCCATTTGATCATATATATACCATATTTAACCACTCTAACATTATGGTCAAATTTATCTGGTAAGCCTCCCTTGAGCAATGAGTGGGTGTCAGGAATGGACTCAGCACTGGCGGTGGGACTCACCTGCCGTGTGGGCTGCAGTACCAGGGCTGACCAGCGGGTGCTCTCAGCAGCCAGGAGCTCACTCCTGCAATCAGCCAACACCTGGATCTGATTGCAGGAGGTGTATTTAAGGAATGGCCATACCTGCAGTCAGGGCCTTGGTGTATGTCTCCCATGAGCCTCCTGTACCGTGTATCCCGTGTTCCTGTTCTGCTGACTATCTGATTTGTTGCCGACCCTGCCTGATCCTGACCTCTGCTGACTTCTCCTGCTTGATCCCTGGCTTGCCTGACCATCCTTCTGCCTGATCCTCTGTACCGCGCTGCCCGTGAGTTACTGAACCCGGCTTGTGACACTATCCTCTGCCTGCTCCTCCGGTACCTCGCTGCCCGTGCGTTGCTGACCTGGCCTGCCTGACTACGCCCGATGCTACCCAGACCATCCATCCTGCACGGATCTGTCCCTGTTACCAGGTCTGCCAGCCTCTTCACGTCAGGCTTTCCCCCAGTACATACCCTCGGCGGACCCCTCTACCACAGTTGGGTGCACTCAGGGGCCGCGACCTGGTCTCAGTCCTGCGCCAAGTCCATCCCCACCATCAGGGCTCTGGTGAAAAGGCAGACTGGGGCTTAGACTCCACGCCCTGGGGAATCCCATTCTGTGGGTACTAAAGATCCTGCCGGGCGGTGCCTGACAGTACCTAATGGCCTGCCTGACCATTCCACCTCTCCAGCCCTGACTACACCTGTGTTCCCACACATTTCTGGTCATACCCGGATCCTTAACAGTGGGGTGACACGTGTTGCACTTCTATATGTATGATCATATTAATTGAAGATATATGATTGCACTTAAGGATATTTCACACTGAGTGGGGTGATATGTTCTGCACTTGGACATACATGATCATCCTAGTGATAGTGACTGAAGATATAGGATTGCATTTAAGGACTTTTCAAAGTGTCCTTTTGCACTAGGACATAATTTCACAGTGTTTTTTTTTTATTATTTTTTTTTTTTTTTTTTTTTTTTTTTTTTTTTTTTTTTCTTTGTTCCTATTTTTGATTTATCAATTATATATTATTCACATTTTTAGCGCTGCACTTTTCTATATAACTGACAATCATCAATCATGGCATGCAGCGGTTTTGGGAAACAAGTAAATTGATGGGTTTAGTTGCACTTAATATTACATTTAATAGGTATCTGTCCACTCTGAAATATGGATGCTGGTATTACTGACAAGCTTGCAAGCAAATGTACGAGTCAATACGCAGAACCAGTGTTGCCAACTGTCAGTATTTTTACTGGCAGCCAGTAAAAAAACTGACTTTTCTCCTGCCAGTAAATGTCAGTGACAGGAAAAAGGTTGCCAGTTAAAATTTGGGGAGCCCATCTCGGAACTGCACATGCACAGTTCCGGTCTGGAGCCGCGCATGCACAGTTCCAGTCCTGAGTTGGCTGACACCGTCCGAGTGCCTGCTACAGTGTGTTCAGGCAGCGCTGGAAGGGGGTGGGGGCGTGGGCTGTGCCTGAGCATGTCACGTGATGACTGGGTGCAAGGGAGCCGAGCCAAGTGGCCAGAGCCTTGTGTGTGTCCGCGGGATGGGAGCAAGGCAAGTCGGGAGCAGTACTGTCAGTGCTGTTTGGACTGGAGTAGACTAAAGGGACCACCTGGCATGGAGAGAGACTGTAACTGACTCAGGAGGGGACGCGTCATGTCCGTAAGGTGTTCTGTGCTGCTGCACACTGCTGTCAGTGTCACGGACAGAGTCAATTTCAAGTGTGTGTGCCTGTCCATTCTAATTTCTTGCCCTCATGAGTCCTGTCCCTGAGCTACTTACTATAGAGAAAATAAGATACAAAATATGTTTTTTTGCCTTAATATCTACCTTAAACATATTGCTAATTGCATATTATACTTGTATATAGCCTATATACGGCTACATAATTCCATAAGTAATTTATTAATTTATGGAAATGCCAGTAAAAATCTTGGTTGTGCCAGTAAAATTTGGGTGTCGTGTCAGTGAATATCAATCTGGTAGGTTGGCAACATTGCGGCAGAACATGGATGCAACTTGTGTTGTGTCAGAACATTTAATAAACACAGGATAAGAAAGCCATGGAACTTGCACCTTCAAAAACAAAACAAGTCAGCAATATCATCCCCCATATTGTGATCCTGGCATCTTGAGTTCTGTGGTTTTTATTCTTGGTTTAGATCTCTTCAGCTTTGACATGCTATGCAAGAGATGTGCCCATACACAACAAAGCAATAGTTCCACTTAAATCTTTAGACCAGTACACACTCCACTTCCTTTCACTGCCACATGATTCTCTTCAGCTGCTAGAAGAAACCACCTCATATGAGCTACAAGTTGTATCTAACACAGGGCTATGGACTCTACCCTTGTGACTCCTAGTACTTGGTCCAGCACTTCCACATGCTTCTCCAAACCCAAAAGTGCCAGGCATTTTTTGTGTTTGGTCCTGGCAGATAGATAAATGCTACTTAGCAAATAGGATTAAAGTAAACCACAATTTTGCTTTAAAAACAGTACAAGTTTTAAGACAATTAGGATTTTCCTTCAGAAACTACACAAGTGGTATATAAAGTGTCCAGGTACCCACTGTACATCTCACCAGTGCACCTTTACAGCAATATCTGACACAAAAATTACCTGAAAATCTGTGTCCTTTGTGTTGAGAGCTATGTTGATGGTAAATGTTGAAGCATCATGATGAGGTCTCAGGTAGGACTGTCGATCAGGTGTATATTTTACCACAAAGTTGAGTAAAGCTCGGCCCTAAAAATGAAAATCAGTTTGATCTTATTAAACCTAGGCTTTTAGGTAACAGGATCCACAGAATGGATATAAAAGCATAGTATTTAATAACAGGCCATTACAAGTAAACACCAAAGTTAGAGTACTATCAAGTCCCAGAATAGATATTAAAAAAAGGAGACTTACTTTTGTATAGTAGCCAGCAAACACTTTGAGAGTTACTGGAGCAATATATTCTCTAATAAAGTGGAGCCATTCGTTTGTCCATCCCAATCTGATTTCATGTGAATATCATCTGTTGGAACATTCTCATACCCTCCAGAAATTCGTATGTCCTAATTACAAGGAAAAAAAATGGTTTACAAAAAATAGCTATGGAAGGTTAATAATGCTTTATTATGTAATGAAAAACCTACAATCCTGGATCATTTTATCCTGGTGTTGGATTTTGGTGCTGCATGCTTTGAATGACGTGCTGTCAATGTGGATACTCCCACCACAGGATGAATGATGTGCCGCAGAAAATGGGTTCATTAGTGTTAAGGGTGTTTGAGTGGTTAGGTTATAGTGAGATTACTGCTTCAGTTCAGTGTATTAGAGGTTAAGCTCTCACCTCAGGGGTTAAGAGTTTGGGTTAGAAGGGATTAAAGCAACTACAATTTTTTTTTTTTACAAATCAAGCCATACCTGTAAAAGAAGATAGCACATATTTCATGTAAAGTCTACAAGAAAATGGGCACTAGTTACCCCACAGCTTTAATTGGTTCTCTTTGCTTTAACATTACTCTGTCCTGCAGTGATGTGAAGGTCATTAGGAAGAACCAATGAGAGCAGCAGATGACCTGGGAGATCGACACCCCCTGGAAGTTTCACTTTCATAGCTAACTTTACATGAAGATTTTTCAAGAGTGGAGTGGCATTCCATGGAAGGGGATGATAAACAAGAAAGGTGTTTAATATTACAGGTATAGCTTAGAGCAGTGGTCTCCAAACTGCAGCTTCCCCTTATCCACTCCTTGGGGCATTATTCCTCCCACTGACACCAACAATGGAGCATTATTCCTCCCCACTAACACCAACAATGGAGCATTATTCCTCCCACTCACACCAAAAAGTGGGGCATTTTTTCTTCCACTGATATCAATCATGGGGCACTACTCTTTCCACTGATACCAAACCGACAATGGGGAACTCCACTGATACTGACCAATGGTCACTATTCCATCCATGTTGAATTAGCATTAGAGATATTGTTACGTCATCAAAAATTATGCATACATATTCACGGTGTTGGGAACCTTTTGTCCAAATCTACCACTGTTGCTTTAGGCAATACAGCTACTTACTGAATGTTTTGAACCAGACCATTGTCCAAAATGCTCCACCTCCTCTACAATTTCATCACAAGCTTCCTCAGAAAACACAGGAAACCAAAAAACATCTGGACAGGGCTGCATCAAGGGAGAAAAAGAAAAAAAAAAAAAAAAAAAAAGAAGAAGAAACTTACTTTAGGTATGCACCGTATTAGGATCAATTTTTGTATGATATTTGAATCATAAGTTTTAAGCATTGTTAATTACATTTACAACTAGATATTTTCAGTGTCTTGCATAATGCTCATAAAAATATTTGTATTCAACATTACCCAATTTCTGGGCCATGAAGGTAAATTGAGCACACTCAGTTAAAACAGGTACAATATATATTCAACTTAAATATACTGTAAAAAGTGATTTACTAAAATATTTGCAGCTTAGTCTGATTCTCACAGCTCTGCCATACTGCAAAGCCAACACAGAAACACTGATATTTTAAATTGCAGCTTCACAGCTTCCAGTGTCAGCTCAATAAATTATAAAAAGAACACTATGCTACTGCTGTGCACTCTCCCCCTTTCCCACTTGTATGTCATCTAAAACACCTCGCCTCCTTCTCCCAATGCCTGAAAACATTCTGATGACACTGAGCCAATCAGACACTAATTCATTGCACAAAGTAAAAAACCTACCACTATAAAGTAATATGAATATGAAGAAGTACTAGCAGAGTCAAATTTTTTGTGCTACCTAATGTGCATGGAGTACTAATGAACAATCTTTCTATATATTTTATGTTCTTACCTGTTCAACAATGTTTTCTGTAAAGATCTTTGAGTAGTTAGCATTTATATATTTTAGCTTCCAATCCTGTTAAAAAAAAAAAAAAAAAAAAGAAAAAAATTTCAGATAAAAGCAAGTAACCCAAATCAAACTGTTTCCACCTATTTAACACAGACTTCATATGTGTTACACATTTCCATTCCCATAGCGTACACAAAAAAAAAATGTAATTGCTGCTTACCTTTTTTACTTGCTTAAAAATCTTACACAGATCTCTCATATGTATGGGGCTGGGGAATCCTGTTTACTATAATTAACCGTCTCTACTGTACTGGCAGATTGCTATAATTTGTAAAGTAGATGTGCACACTGTCTAAACAGTTTATTGAATGCTTTAAAGTTTTACAAGGCACATAAATTTAAAAACAAAAAAACAAAATGGGGGCAGGGATGGAAAGTATATACAATGATCGAGGGTCAAATACAGAAATGTCATCAAGAAAAAAAATTCTTGAAAGCAGTATGCCAAGCATCTCAAGCAAAGCATATCCGGTAATCACATGAAAACGCAAAGACAGTTCATGATAGAGTAGACAAACACCTTTTATGAGAACAAGGTCATCAAAGATTGATAAATATGTATGGCTGCAGCGCATCTAGCCAACCCAATACACCTGGACTATGCATAACGGGGAATTCGCTCACTCCTGGAAGGGAAAGGGCACAGACTATAGGAGGGCGCTGGAGACTGGAAACCTTAAAATTTGAAATGTACACAATGGTCAATGAGATCCTCCGGATGGCTATGTTGTTAACTTGTGAGTAGGAGCACCACCACTGTCCAGGACTACAAAGAAGGAAACATAGTCTACGCATGTAATGAAGAACTCCTTATTTAAGAATATAATTGCAAAACTATACACAAAAATTTAATTTTAACAAAAACACACATACAATTGTTTAGGCTATGCTCATCTTAGGGCTCATTCACACAAAGCATGTGTGATTATGTGATTTTACAATTGGTTGTACATTTTTTTTTTTTTTTTTTTTTAACTCTTCATCCTTATAATGAGCTGTGATAAAATGCAACCCATCCAGTTGTTTTTTTTTTTAGTGCACAGGACATTGATGTAAAACTGGCACAATGGAAAACAATTTAGTCTAGCATTAGTCATGTGAATACACCCTTACAGAATGGCGACAAGACCCATAATTTAAAGAAAAAAAAAAAAACACACCACCTGCTGTTACAATTAGAGATGAGCGAATCGAACTTGGCGAAGTGGAATTCGTTTCGAATATTAGGAAAAATCGAAATTTTTCCAAAAATGGCGGCGACATGTGCGGCGACGGAGCGGGGATCTCTGGGAAGGCGCGCAGACAAGGCGCGCTGACCCATAATGCATTCATTCATGACATGTGATCGCATTAGCCAATCAGCAGCCAGCCAGCCAGCCAGCACTGTGTAATGGTCGAGCTATAAATTGCGGCCATTTTAGAATTCTCCATTTGCCTCCAGTCATTCAAGAGAGGCAGACCTGGCTGTATTGAGGGAGGAGTTAGGGACACAGGAGAACGTTAGGGACACAGAAACGTTACTTAGGGCCAGAGAAACGTTACTTAGGGCCACAGAATCGTTACTCAGGGACAGACTGAGGGACAGAATCGTTACTCAGGGACAGACACAGAATCGTTACTGAGGGACACAGAATTGTTACTGAGGGACAGACACACAGAATTGTTACTGAGGGACAGACACAGAATTGTTACTCAGGGACACAGAATTGTTACTTAGGGCCACAGAATCGTTACTCAGGGACAGACACAGAATTGTTACTCAGGGACAGACACAGAATTGTTACTCAGGGACAGACACAGAATCGTTACTGAGGGACACAGAATCGTTACTGAGGGACAGACACAGAATTGTTACTGAGGGACACAGAATTGTTACTCAGGGACACAGAATTGTTTACACAGAATTGTTACTCAGGGACACAGAATTGTTACTGAGGGACACAGAATTGTTACTGAGGGACACAGAATTGTTACTTGTTACTGAGGGACACAGAATCGTTGAATTAAAGAGTATGTCAGACAACATGCAGAGGAGTGGCAGAGGAGGCAATGTTTTAGGAGCGAGCAGACGTGGCAGCAGAGGAAGGGGTCGAGGCAGCACTAGTCGCAGCCAGAGGCCAGTGCTCCCGGTGTCATCCAGCGGTCGTGTCTCCACCGACAACCCTGCCGTCATCGATTGGTTGGCTCGGTCGTCTTCCTCTTCCCAGGTCACCTCTGACACCTACAGCCAACGGTCGGTGGGTACGTCAGACACAACCGTTAGTTGGCATGGCCCGGGAGCAAGCCCACTGAAATCACGTGTCCTCTACCTGCCCCTGTCCTTTGGTGTTCCCTCACCAAGCAAAGTATCGCATGCTCTGGGCTCAGCCCCACTGTACAGTGAGGAAGAGCTAACAGAGGGCGGTCAGGAACGGGGGGAGACATCCGCCTCTTCAGCAGCCAGGCGAAGAAGTACTGGCGAGGAGAGTGGCTCGGTAGCCGGTCTAGAGACAGGTCTGTCTCCTGACCCACACGCAGCCGAGGGGGCTAGTAGTGAGGCGGAGACCCTAATTGATGATGATGATGAGGCTGATCGCACTTGGCAGCCTCGTCGTCATCAGGCTATTGCTTCCGCATCATCAGGAGAAGAGGGTGGCAGCTTGGCAGCGAGCAAAACAGTCGGTGGGTTGCCCAGGAGGCAGCAGGGTCGCAGCAGTGTCAGTGGAGGCAAACGGCCACGGAGTAGAGCACCAGCTCCACTGCAGCCTACCACCATGGCCAGTAGTGGTGCCAGTGTGCACGGAGGAAGTAGCAGTCAGCCAGTGAGAAGTATCGGGGGCAAAGTTTCCTACTCGGCGGTGTGGCAATTTTTCGTCAAGCTGCCCGAGGAAGTAAACGTAGCCGTATGTCGACTATGTGGCCAGAAAGTCAAGCGTGGCCAGGGGGCCCATGTTGGGACTACAGCGTTGCGTCAGCATATGCAGCGTCGCCATTTGGTGGCCTGGGAAAACCGTGATAAAGATACGGCGGTTCTGCCTGCCCCAGCCCCCGCTCCATCACCCGCTCCGTTACTTGCTCCGTCACCCGACGTCAATCGCCCTCTATCAGCCAGTCAAGGCTCCAACACCTCTGCTGAGGGGAGTTGTCGCTCGTTGGCATCTTCCGCTCGCTCAGATGCTCCTTCTCCTGCTACTCCTCTTCACGGATTCCGTCAGCAGTCTTTCTTGGAATCCGTTTCCAAGAGACAACAGTTTGCGAGCACGCACCCGACGGTGCAAAAGCTGAACGTCCTCCTGTCCAAGTTGCTGGTGCTGCAGTCCCTCCCTTTCCAAGTGGTTGACTCAGCACCTTTCCGAGAAATGATGGCTTGTGCCGCGCCGCGGTGGAGAGTGCCAAGCCGTCATTTCTTCGCCAAAAAGGCAGTGCCAGCCCTGCATTCACATGTAGAAGAGATGGTGGGGCCAGTCTTTGAGCATGTCGGTCTCTGCCAAAGTGCACGGCAGCGCCGACGTGTGGAGCTGTAACTACGGTCAGGGACAGTACATGTCATTTACGGCCCACTGGGTGAACGTGGTGCCGGCACAGCCGCACCAGCAACTTGGACAGGTCACGCCGCTTTTGCCTCCACGTTTGCACGTCCTTGGTCCACAAAAAATGTCCGCCTCTACCACCTCTTCTTCCGCCGTGTCCTCAGCCGCCACCCCCCCCCGTGCCAAGTCCCATTACCCGACCGGCATATCACATGTGCAGGGCGCAACGGTGTCACGCTGTGCTGCACCTGGTATGCCTTGGCGAACGTAGTCACACAGGGGAGGAACTTCTGAGTGTAATGAACAGAGAAATCGACAGATGGCTGTCTCCGCGCAAACTGAAAATCGGAACCATGTTGACCGACAACGGAAAGAACATGGTGTCTGCTCTGCGTCAAGGAAGGTTGTGCCATGCGCCATGCATGGCTCACGTGTTCAATCTGGTTGTCAAGCGGTTCCTAAAATCCACCATCCCACTGCAAGACATCCTTAAAACGTCACGTAAACTTTGCATGCATTTCAGCCATTCCTACACCGCAAAGCACACCCTCCTTGAGCTGCAGCGGCAGAACGGAATTCCACAGCATCGCCTGATCTGCGACGTTGCAACAAGGTGGAATTCAACCCTACACATGTTAGACCGCCTTTACGAACAGCGAAAGGCCATCACAACCGATTCCTGATGTTACAAGCGGATAAAAGGTACTCCCCTGTGTAACTTCGATGTCAGCCATTGGCAGCTCATGCGCGACACCTGCCGCTTGCTGAGGCCCTTTGAGGAGGCCACGCTGTTCGTGAGTCGGCAGGACTATGGGATGAATGACGTCATTCCTCTGTTGCACGTCCTGGAACAAATGCTGTTAACAATGGCTGGTCAGGGGTGCGGTAGACGTGGCGCACAGATCTCAACGCCACATGACCCCTGTGGGGGCAGGACAGGAAGAAGAGGAGGAGGTAGAGGAGGACATTTGTGCTCAGGAATTATTGAGTGAAATGGGTGGTTTTTCCACTCAGCGGACAGGTCTGGAGGAGCAGGAGCATCTGGTAGAGGAGGAGGAGGAGGAGACAGAGGACCCAGACACACCGTGGCAGTATGCTGTGGAGATGGAGGCAGGGAGTCCCTCGCATTCCTTGGCACAAATGGCCCATAGCATGCTCGGTTGCTTGCGTAGCGACAGCCGAATAATAACCATCAGACAGAGGGATGACTTTTGGCTGTCCACCTTGTTGGACCCTCGCTACCGTTCAAAAATGGTGGCCTTTTTTCACACCTGCTGAGAGGGAGGCCAAAATAACGTACTATAAAAACCACCTATGTAGTCAGTTGGTCTCTGCCTTTCTGCGCCAACGTCCATCCTCAGACACTGTGGGCCCTGTGCGCTCGCGTTCCGCTGCCATGGCAGCAGGGGAGGGGTGGGGTAGTAGGAGCAGTGGCAGCTCCACCAGCAGCGGCTGCCTCAGTCTGCAGTCGATGATGAGTAGCTTTCTTCACCAGCGCAGTGAGGAAACTACTAACCAGCCGCAGCAGCAGCAGCATCAGGAGGTGACCCTGGAGCAGGACCTCAAACAACAGGCTTGGGCCTACTTGGACAGCACCCTGCCAACCGAGGTAGACAATCCCCTTGACTACTGGGCAACGAAACTTGACCTTTGGCCCCAACTAGCTGAATTTGCCCTTGAAAGGCTGTCATGCCCGGCCAGTAGCGTGGCATCGGAGCGCGTGTTTTAGTGCGGCAGGAGGTATTGTAACTCCGCGGAGGACACGACTGTCCACCCAAAGTGTGGAGAGACTCACGTTTGTGAAAATGAATCAGGCGTGGATTAGTCTGGATTTCAAACCACCAGTTCCTGACACAACTGACTAAATCCGCCATGAATCATGCCCCAAACATGTGCCACTTTCAGGTCTCCTCACACTGCTGGTGTGTGTTCCATTTTTTGTCATAGGGTGCTGGCAGATTACGGGCCTCCCATTGCTGCTGCCAGGCCCGTAATCTGCCATGGGCCCCTGTACCTACCGCCTCTTCATGCTGCTGCCAGGTCCAGAGTCTCTCATGGGTCCCTGTACGGCCTCCCATTGCTGCTGTCTCCATCGCCACACTCTGCCATGTGCCACTTTCAGGTCTCCTCACACTGCTGGTGTGTTCCATTTTTTGTCATAGGGTGCTGGCAGATTACGGGCCTCCCATTGCTGCTGCCAGGCCCGTAATCTGCCATGGGCCCCCGTACAGTACCCGCCTCCTCTCATGCTGCTGCCAGGTCCAGAGTGTCTCATGGGTCCCTGTACGGCCTCCCATTGCTGCTGTCTCCATCGCCACAACTCTGCCATGTGCCACTTTCAGGTCTCCTCACACTTCTGGTGGGTTCCATTTTTTCATAGGGTGCTGTATGGCCTCCCATTGCTGCTGCCTGCCCGCCACACTGTGGCTCCACACTGTGGCTCCACACTGTGGCTCCACACTGTGGTTTTGGCCCCGTGACTGCCCAAATGAGTGAAGTGTGCGGTGATTCTAAGATCGACGGCACTCATCTGCATGTCATACTGACTGACAGTATTATTTCTCTTCCCCAGCAGACTCCAAGGGCATTTAAATTAAAGGTACAGTGTTCTGCACTAATATGAAGGCTCTCTGAAGCCTAAAAACACCCTTTTATAAGTTAAATTCGCAGCGAATATATTCGCATCGAATCAAATTTATTCCTCGAATTCGCCGAATCAGCTGAATCAATTTTTGAATACTTCGCTCATCTCTAGTTACAATCATAAATTAAGCACATACCTACTTAAAAAAAGAAACAAAAAACAAACAAAACACTTGGATACATACCACAGGATTTTCAAATATTTGCCAAAGGTCATTGTTATAGTGGGAAATATTGTAGTTGGCTGTAGAAAGTAGCCTTCCAAATTCATGACGATTTGTAATGAACATGAAAACACCCTAAGATATTAATGAAAAACATATTAGTAGAGCCTTTAACCCTGCAGAAAAATGTATAACTTTTGGAAAATCATACTATTTTAGACTACTGCTTGGGGGGAAAAAAATGTCGAAATGCCTAAATGACTTTTTAAATTAAAGTAAAAAAAGGCAAATTTTTTTTTTTAATATTGGACAGAGTGGAGATGGATTGGAACACCTGTCAACACAAATTTTGAGTTGTACCCAGAAAAGTAATAGGGGGAAATCTTCCAATGGGGACACTAGATCTGGTGACCTGGGAGTCCCCAAGGAATTCCCTTAATGTCCAGGGATTTCCCTCACTTCAAGTTTCAGGTATGAGACAGGAAGCGAATGTAAACCTCCACAATGGGACACAGATCAAAAAATAAACTGACAAGGGTTATATAACTCCCTTGCTCTATCCAAAATGAAAAAAAAAAAAAAAAAAAAAAAAAAGGAAATGTTTTGCAGATAGTTCTACGTTAACCCTTTCATGTATATTTCAATAGATAAAAAAAAAAAAAAAAAAAAAGCTTTCATGTGAATAGATTACAACTTGCTTTATTCAATGTTCCTCTGAAGTTAAAATGACTAAGTAATAAGAAAGACTTACACTTAAGCAAAGTTTAGTAAACTTATTTTTACAGTTATAAAGCAGAGTAAAAGACACACAATGTTTAAAACACCACATTAAAGGGGCTACTTCATTGAGCTGAGAATATGGAATTACAGTTTATGTCTATGCATAAAAAAAAACAAAAAAACAAAAAACACAAGTTAGTACATCTCTGCAATATATGCATGTTTCGTCTCTTTAGAAATGCTGAAAAGACACCAAAAAATAATTAATCCTGCATCAATCCAGTGGGCTCCTAACTTCCTATTTGAGCTGACAACTCTGCACTGCTTTAGATTTCACTGCAACAGAGTCAGTCAGCCCTACCCGAGATCTACCCTGCCAGACTACAGAACACCACCCTGTATGTTATGGGTATTAGGATGCTAGAGCTTACAGTGCAAACAGAGGCACTATTTTGTCAGCTTAGAGATGAATGTAGGAGTTCACTGTAGTTCTGGAAATCAACAGGTATTTTTCTGCTGCATCTTATCTCTGCACATGTCTTTTTTTGCCACTGGAAGACCAAGATTCTCTGGCACGTTTAAATCTTTTTTGTTTTTGGTAGAAAATTACTTATTGGCCCCAAAGTTATATATATATATATATATATATATATATATTATATATATATATATATATATATATTTCCCCCCAATTTCTTATTTAAACTATGAAAGCAAGTAAATAGTTAGTTATCCAACCTGCTATGGTTTAAAATTGTGCCCACTCGTGGAATGGCAAACTACAGTGCTTAAAAATTTCTAGAGGTGATGTTTTAAAAAATGTTTACAGGTTACCTGTTTAGAGTTAGAGTAGGTCTAGCGCTAGAATTATAGCACTTGCTCTAACGTTTGTGGCAATACCTCAAATGTGTGCTGCAAACACCATTTACATATGTGTGTGCAACTTACATATGCCTTCACTTCTGCACACGAGCAACAGAGGGATGGGGGCGCTTTAAATTATTATTTTTTTTTATAATTTATTTTTTCACTGTCCCTTTATTTTTTTTAAAATCACTTTTATTCCTATTATATAGAATGTAAACATCCCTTGTAACAGAAATAAAAAATGACAGGTCCTCTGAGGAGAAATCCGAAATATTTTTTGACCTCCGATCTCTCCTTTACCTTTAAAAGCAAAAGATCAAAAAAACATTTTTTTTTATCCTTTTGCTTTAGAAAAAAAAAATAGTTTTAAACTGCCTTGGACCGGAAGTGACGTCATGATGTCCCTCTGGTCCACCAAGACCATAAAGGCAATCAGACGATAGAGTCAGACGATCACCTCTAAGCAGCCGGCCACACATAGTTACATAGTAACAGTTAGTCTGGCTAAAAAAAGACAACAAAGTCCATCCAGTTCAACTGCCGGATTGTTTCTCGTGCGCGCTGGTTTTAGCTCTAAGCTGGTTGGTGGTGGTGGTGTGGTGGGGGGGGGGGGGGTTGAGGAGAGATCACCTCTTACCGCTACTGAAAGCGATCCAGTGAGCAATGATTCACCCGGACTACTTTTACATGAGAAAGCCGACTGGGGGGAAAAAAAAAAAAAAAAAAAAAAAAAAAAAGGGAAGATGCTGGGGTTACGGCTGTTATCTTCATTCATAATACCGGTAAATCACTTGCAAACTGCAATGTTTATATACATATTGCGATCTGCAAGTGGGAAGTGTGTATATGATGCGGTTATACTTGATAACACATCTATGGCAGCATGCATTATAAAAAGATATGTTCTTGCAGTTAAGCAGTTGTGTATTTTGGTTTTGTGCTGCCCTAGGCAAGATTAAAATGCCTCCCCCATCTAAATGTGTCCCACTCCTTCCTGTTTAGGATCCACCCCTTCATTTGTAAACTCTGCCCCTTCTATTAGGCTCCACCTCTTCCTATTAGAGCTCCACCCCAGGAGATGGTCAGGCAGCAGACCGAATACAGGAGAAGGTCCTCATCAGGGTCGGACTGACCATTTGGAAACTCGGGTACTGTCTGAGGGCCTGGGGTCAGTAGGAAGCCCCATGAGATGCCCCTGGTACCTTTTTCATAGGCTTTTTTTGAGTTTGGGCAAGGATACAGGGGCCCCAGGATCCCCTATTGCCCAGGGGCCCCATGAGTTGTCAGTCTGCCCCTGGTCCTCACAACCCCTCCCCTTGCATCAGGGTCCCCAAAGTTCCCCCCCAGGCAAGCACCTGATTGGTTGTTAGGACTGCCGATGTCCTAGTAACCAATCAGGTGGTTTCCCCGCCCCCACTAGTGCTGACAGTGACAATACAGGGCAGCGGTGCAGCAGTGGATGTCACCTGGCTCCGATGCACAGCCTACCTGTTGATGTGAGTCCCCCCCCCCCCCCTCTTCCCACCTGAGCACAGCCCTTTGTAGCTTGGCACTGGTCCCTTCTGCCTGGGGGCGATGGTCCCCCCCCCCCCCCCCCCCCCGAAAAATGCTGCTCAATGCAGGTGCCTTGTTTGCCTTGCGGCAGATACGCCCCTGGTTGTAGCATGATATGATCTTGCTGGATAACATAATTATGGTTGCAGCTTGGTATATAAGTTTCTATGGTGGCCTTGTAGAATGTTCTATAGTTCAAGATATAAAATAATATGGCAGCATTGTAGAATGTGGACCACTATAAAAGATGTGCATCCACTCATTTCCTCTGGTGGGCCCCAAGTACAGCAATCTCACACTGCTTGAATAGTTTTTAAAGGGATAAACACAGGGAAATGTGCATGTATTGCAGAGATGTACTAAATATACTTAATTTAATTTGCCCAGATGTACACTAACTTATGCTGTCAGTGTCTGTAATTTGTAAGCAGGTAAATCACAAAAAAGGAAGACTTGCAAATATTTTCCTTCCTAGAACTGCACTAACTGAAAAAGCAATTTATCACCAACAATAGAACACAGCTCAACCTACTATGTTAATACTTTAATGACAATCATTTTTAGGTTTTACTACTTAAAACAACCCCTTTAATATGGTCACCTATATTAAATTAGCAGAAGTTAAATGTTTTAGCATTATTTTTTCCCAGACCAACAGTTACTTACAGGTTTATTTTATGTAATTCACAATTACTTTAAATTATAATTCAAATGGCTATTTTCCATTTTGTAGTCTGGGAAAAAAAAAAATCTGATTAAGTATGGAAGTGGCTATGACTATATAGCAGATGTATTGTGTGGATTTTATCAGCAGTCCCACACAATATACTCACGAGAGACGGGATAAGAGTGTTAAACAAAGACCATTTTTGTCTTTCCTTTTACAGTAAAAAAAGACTATAGCCAAAATGAATTCCTCATTAAATTTCAAACCAAAAAGTAAAAAAAAAGAAAAAAGAAAATGTAGCAGCAAAAATAAATGGCTTGCAGGGTTCAGTTTGGTGAGAGATGTACTACCTTTCCTAGTTGGCGACCTTCACAAATAGGGGGGGTGATGTGCTTAATAGCGTTTAGAATTGCAAAAAAAAAAAAAAAATTAAATTTGAGGATTAGAAAAAAGGCTCCAATAAAGTACGAAAAAAAAAAAGTAATAGAGAACAAAAAAATGTTCGTCCTGTTTTTTGGGACCAGGAGATCTTCAACCTTGTTTGATTACTGGTTTGAGAAACACAAGTAGTTGAGCAAAGATGTGCAGCCAGAAGTGTAGCATGAATGCTTGGCCATGGTGTGAGCTTTGTGATGCTGTGGCCACCACAGCTTGAGTGTGCGCCAGTTGCTTAATCTGTTTATTAACCCAGGTTAAAAACTGCCATTGGTCTGAATTTTATGACATGTTTTGGACCTAATGAGTCAGCCTTTTATCTTCAGATGTCCATGCACATGTAGTTTTGATATAAAGAGAACAGATACTGAAGACATCTGGAGCTAGATATATATATATATATATTATAATATTATATATATATATATATATAAATATTATTATCCAATATAATGTGCTGACAGTAATTGGACCAACACAAACACACACTGACACCATCATCACACACATACAAGAGCGACATGAGGCATAGCAAGAGAGCTATGCTCTCCTAGTGCAACCTGCAGGCCTGAACTGTCAGCATGAATGCCCAGGCCTGCTCTTCATGCATTTAGGAATAAACACATTGTAGTCTTCAGCTATAAACTATTGTTCTGTGTAAAGTATAAAAAAGTATTTTTCAAACAAACAGTTGCATCTTATTGATCCCAAGTTAATTTTTATTAGTTTTACTGACCCCTTTTCTTCCCGATTTGTTGATTTTTTGTTTTACTCATACAAGTACATAAACTTTTTAAAATTTTCATTAGTCTGTTCTGCAATACTGAATTCTAAATAGCTTTTTAAAAGGAAACACAAATCCTAGTGGCTTATAAAACAGGAGATGCAGAATA